TCAACAAATGGTACTAGGAAAACTGGACAGTCACATGCAGAAAAATGAAACTAGATCACTGTCTCATACCACATACAAAAGTTAACTCAAAATGGAATAGAGATGTGGATGTAAGATCTGAAATCATAAAAAATACATAGAAGAAAACATAAGCAGAACACTCTACTACATTGACTTCAGGGATGTATTTGGGGAATTGACTCCAACGGCAAGGTAAACAGAAGCAAAAATAAACAAATGGGATGACACCCAACTGAAAAGTTTGCACAGTGAAATAAACTATCATTAAAATAAAAAGATGCCCCACTGAGTGGAAGAAAATATTTGTATTTTCTAATATCAAAGATCTACAAAATTCAGCAACAAAAATTATCCAATAAAATAGACGCTTCTCCAAACAAAACATATAGATGACCAGCAGGAACATGAAAAAATGTTCATCATCACTTTTCATCATATGTAAATCAAAACCACAATGGGTTACCACCTTACATTGTGAGAATGACCCATATTGATAAGACCAGAACAAGTGTTGGGGAGGATGTTGGTGGGATGCAGACAGGGCTAGCCCTTATAGAAAACAGTATGGAGTTTGCTCAAAATATTAAAAACAGATCTGATGGTTGATCCAACATTCCTAGGTATCTATCTGAAGTTACTTAGATATGCCCTAGAAGAATTACAAAAAGACTAATTCAAAGGGATATTTGCACTCCTATGTTCGCTACAGCACTATTTGCATTGGTTATAGAAATAACCTCAGTGCCCAAGGATAGATGAGTGGGTAAAGAAGTTGTGGCATACATGTACAATGAATATTACTCAGTTTAAAAATAGATGAAAATTTGCCAGAACAACATGCATAGAACTGGAGGGGATTATGCTAAGGAACTAAGAAGAAGAAAGACAAATACTGAATGATTTGATTCATATATGAAATACAGAGAAATAAACAAAAGGAACAGACAAAACTAATATAAACAAACTAGAAATATGGCTGCAGAATAGAGGCTACAGAGGGGATGAGTGGGAAGGAGGCTCAGTGGTCTGTGGAGAGGATTCTGGGTATACATGTGTGGTAGGCATGGTGTGGAAACATACAGCTTATGAGGCGTGAACCTATATCCCTAAATTATATACAGTGTTGTAAATCAATGTTCCCTCAAAAAGTTATAGAAACATTAAAAATATATTTTAGCTTAGAGAAACTCTGTAATTATCAATTTAATTTTAAACCCAATTTTTTTACCAGACACTATAAAAATTCTGCTACAGTACAAGATTTTTGCTTAATTTCCTCATTCTCTTTTCCTCGTTTGTCCTACATTTTTTTTTTCTTTTTAAAATGTCTGCTTAAAAGACTATACATAAATATACAAAGATCATAGCTAAACCAGATGCAGAGAGACTAACAGTTAATGACAAATGCTGGAGATTCTTTTCCAGTTAAATATTGAGGACCAGGCGGCTGAGTAGGCCTAACAAAAGAACAAATGCTTATGAGGGTTACAAAGATGGAGTAAGAAGAACTAGTTCTCATTTGGATAAAATTAAGTTATTTAATGAAAGCATGTAAGAAGGATTTGAAATCAAAGTAAAAGTGAAATTAAGTTAAATCATTTATTCACTCCTATACAAAAGGGAAGTTTTTGCCATTTGTAAAATTTCTTTTCAAAATTAATGCTTAGGACAAATGCTAGTATTTGGTGCCTTACAGCTGCATGTAGTAAATGAACTGTCCATGTAGTTTGACTTCACCCAGAAGCTAAGGACCTCAGAAGCATTTTAAGATGTTTGTGAAACACAAATGAAATGAGTCATCAGAGATATGCTGCAATATGTGTTTGAGATACATGCTCATACATGTGGATAATATTTGTTCTCAAGCAGATGAATATTGCTGTTGCCAAGGTGGTCACTATTTAGAAAGTAATCAAATGAAGACAAGATAACTACTTTTGTTAGGCAAGGTAGCACTGTTTTGTCTTAAATTTATTTCATAAAAATTCCTTTTTTAAGTATACAATAGAAGGTACTGAGAAAATAGTGTCTCAAAAATGTTTTAGAGGGCCTCCCCAGTGGCGCAGAGGTTGAGCGCTGGCTTGCGAAGCTACCCACGGCCTCTGCGGCGCCGGTTCGATCCCCGGCTGCTCCCCGGCCACCAGAAGAGGGTCCCACATGGCACGCAGACCTCTCCTGCCGCCCGCTGCTCCCCTCAGCAGTGTACTTCGCTCCCTCTGCCTGCTCTGCTCCCTGCTCTGGCTCTGGTGAATTCTCTCACCCTCCCGCACTTCTGACTGTACCCAGTGCATGTATAAACAAAACAAACAAATAAATAAATAAAAACATGCCTCTATAAAAAAAAAAAAGTATATAGTGTTCTACTACTTACTTTTTAAAAAAATGTTTTAGAAATATTTATAGACTCGAATTATTTAGACTTGCTCTAGAACTTTGTTAGTGGGTATGGTGAGGCATCTTTATATTAAGGTGTGGAAAATTGTTCAAAAAATCTACATGGTATTGTAATCCAATGATAATTCCAAGAACTTTTTATTACAGTTTTGATTTGCATTTTCCTGATGATAAGTGACAATGAATATTCTTTTCCTTTGATGTCTTCTTTTGCTATCTCATATTTTTGTATTTTCACTGAATGAGAACAAAAACCAATGTTTTGTTTTCCACTGAGACAACATTGGCTCACAACACTGTCTATGATTCAGAGGTATAGGTTTACGCCTCTTTAGGTATATTTTACCACACCACACCCACCACCAGGCACCCTCACTCCTCCACATTTTCCCCCTGTGTCTGTTCGCCATCTGCATGTCTTAATTGGAGAAGTGTCTATTTTGTTCTCCTGCCCATTTTTTGATTAGGTTATTTGCTTTCCTTTTGCTAAGTTGTATGAGTTCTTTGTAGATTTTGTGCAGATTTTGGTATCAATCCCTTGTAGAATGTGTGATGTACAAATACTTTCTTCCCCTCAGTAAATATCTTTTATTTTAATGATAGTTTATTTTAACGATATTTAACTCACTGTGCAGAAGCTTTTAGTTTGTTATATTGCCATTTGTTTATTTATTTATTTATTTTTAAATCTATGAATGATGTATTTTATTTATTTTTTTTAAAGATTTGTTTATTTATTTATACAAGCACTGGGTACAGTCAGAAGCACGGGAGGGTGAGAGAATTCACCAGAGCCAGAGCGGGGAGCAGAGCAGGCAGAAGGACCGAAGTACACTGCTGAGGGGAGCAGCGGGCGGCAGGAGAGGTCTGCGCGCCATGTGGGACCCTCCTCTGGTGGCCGGGGAGCAGCCAGGGATCGAACCGGCGCCGCAGAGGCCGCGGGCAGCTTCGCAACCCTGCGCTCAACCGCTGCGCCACCGGGGAGGCCCATCATTTGTTTATTTTGCTTTTGTTTACCTTGTCTTTGGAGTCAAGTCCCCCAAAACATCCTTGAAGCCAATATTGTGGAGTGTTTTGTCTATGTTTTTCTTCTATGTACTTTATGACTTAAGGTCTTACATTCATGTCTTTAATACATTTTGAGTTTATTTTTGTGTATGGTGTGAAACAGTGGTCACGTTTAATTTTTGTGCATTTGGTTGTCCACTTTTCCCAGTGTCATTTATTGAAGGGACTTTCCTTTTCCCAATGTATATATCGTCTTGGCTCTTTTGTTGAAGATTACTTGTCTGTATAAGCATGGGTTTATTTCTGGGTGTTTAATTGTATTCCAATGATCTACTTGTCTGTTTTATTCAGTTACCATACTATTTTTATTATTATAGCTTTGTGGTATAGTCTGAAGTCTAGTAGTGTAATTCTTCTGTTCTTTTGGTTTGGATTGCTTTAGCAAGATATCACTCAACTCACACCTGTGAGAATGGCCCATAACAAAAATATCAGAAACAACAATAGGGCCTCCCCAGTGGCGCAGTGGTTGAGCGCTGGGCTGCGAAGCTACCCACAGCTTCTGCAGCGCCGGTTCAATCCCATCTGCTCCCCAGCCACAGGAGAAGGGTCCCGCATGGCGCAAAGACCTCTCCTGCCGCCTGCCGCTCCCCTCAGCAGTGTACTTTGGTCCTTCTGCCTGCTCTGCTCCCCGCTCTGGCTCTGGTGAATTCTCTCACCCTCCCGCGCTTCTGACTGTACCCAGTGCTTGTATAAATCAATCAATAAATAAAAATTAAAAAAAAAAAACAACAATATTGATGAGGAGAAAAAGAAACCCTCATATACTGTTCGTGGGACATTACACTGGTTCAGCCTTTATGGGAACAGTATGGAGGTTTCTCAAAAAAGTAAAATATATCTTCCGTATGGTCTGGCAATTCCATTCCTAAGTATCTATTTACCAAAACGCAAAAACACTCACTTAAAGAGATAGATGAATTCCTATGCTAATTGTGGCACTGTTTATAACAGCTGAGTTGTGGAAGTAGTCTAAGTTCCCGAGGACTGATGGGTGAATAAAGAATTTATGGTAAATTTACACAATGAAATACTGTTCAACTACCACAAAAAAATGAAGTCATGCCATTTGCAACAACATGGAGGAAACTGATGGAACTGGAGGGGATTACACTAAGTGAAGTAAGTTGGAGAAAGACAAATACTGGATGATTATACTCAAATACGGAACATCAAAACAAAGGAACAGACACAGTTAAATCAAACCCTAGAAATCCTACCATAGAATTGAGGCTACCAGAGGGGGTGTTGGGGGAGAAAAAGGGGGGAACCACAATGGACTGGTGGAGGGTTGTGGGTGCTTTGGTGGTGGGTGTGGAATGACAACATGCATCTGAAGGGGTGCGGGGGTAAGTAGGGGGGAAGCTTCAGGCTTTTCTGCCCTCCCACTGTGCATGCGCACTCGGCCAAATGGCGTGGCGCGCCATGTGGCCTGGCGTGCGTGGCGTGGCGTGCGTGGCGTGGCGTGCGTGGCGTGCGTGGCGCGGCGCAGCGCAGCGCAGTGTGGTGCGGTGCCGAGGCCGGAGGAGGGGCTGGAGTGGCCGAGCGGACGGAGCGCGGCGACGACTGAGCGCGGAGAGCGTGACGACACCAACGGGGCTGCTGGAGCCGGTAATGAACCTCCCCGGGGCGGCGGGTTGCCCAGTTCTCGCGTGTGTAAATAAATAAATCTTTAGAAAGAAAACATTTGTCCCAACAGAAGGTGTCCTTGGGGGACGTCACACGTTCTCTCAGAGAAAACCCCTGTTCCCGTCTCTGCGTGACGCGCCCGCGCTGGTGCTCGTGACCGTCTTCGCGGTCACCCGGCGGCGGGTCGCGGCTCCTCGTGGTTCTCACGTCCCCGCCCCGCCCAGCGCGAGTCCCCGGGCCTGGGCCCGAGACAGACGGGGACGCGCGAGGCCCGGACACTCCCCGCGGGGATGCGGGTGACGGGACGGGCGTGTCCACTTCTGGGGCAGAGACTCCCTGGGTCCTGCTCCCTGGTGAGCTTGGCGGGTCCTCGAGGTCACTTTCGAGGGTGAATATGAAGTTAGAGAGAGAGGGGGGGGGTAAATTTGGGAACTGTCCCTTCTTGTGTAACTGTGCAGACTTAGGCAAATCATTTTATTTCTCTGAAGCTCAGATTCTTCAGTAACACTTTTCTTAAAATACCAGCCCCCCAGGAGGAGTGTGAGGAGGAAATGGAATGATGCGTGTGAAGAAGTGAGTGCAGTGTTTGTCAGGAGATGGTTCCACCATTCTCCTTCCTGATCCCACAGGAAAGAAGGGAATCCCGGTGATGATAATGCAGTGCACTTTGTAGTCATGTAGACGTTACAAAGGAAATGTCACACTTTCATAGTTCTTAAACTAGAGTTTGAAAATAACTTTAAAATTACCTTGCTTTTGTTTTTATCTTTTTTTTAAACGGAGGTCAAAAGACCTTATGTAAAGTATCCACAGTCACCCAACTAGGTAATGGCGAGATAATAATTCAAACAGGGGTCATATTTTGTTCCTAAATATGCTTTTTTGGATATCTTATCTTATTAAGTTTGTCTTAAAGTAATAGCACTTTATAATCACAAACCAATGCAAGATTTTCTCATCTAATTCCTACAAAAATATCTAGGTAGGTAGCATTATTTTCCCCATTAAGAAATCAGAATGGAGGTTCAGGTAATAACTACAAGTTAGGTAATAACTACAAGTCTGCAAATTATGAAGTACCCTCTGAGAACTGCTTTATGTGTATTCCATGAAATTTGACATCGTGTGTTTTTTTTATGAGTTTGTTCAAAATATTTTCTAGTTTTGCTTGTGATTTGTTTGACCCAAGAAAATATGGTTTTGTGTATTAAGGGTATTAAAAATGTGCCTTTAAATTTCTGAATATTTGGAGATTTAATGGATTTGAACTGTCCAATATGATATTCATTCGTCAATTGTGGATATTTAATTTATTTAAATGAATTTAAATTAAAATTCAGTGGCTAAACCATTCTAGCCAAATTTTAATTGCTTAAAAGTCATATATGGATAATGGGTACCATATTTGGGCAGGACAGATATAGAACCTTTTCATCATTACAGAAAATTCTATTGTAATATTTTGCTAATGATTTCTAATCTAATACTGTTACAGCCTAAGAACAGGCTTTGTTTGTATGATTTTGACTTTTGACATTTATTGAGACTTGTTTTATGTCTCGGAATATAGTCTACCTTGGTGAATTTTGCAAGTGCACATGAAAAGATTATACAATTCTTTTCTGTTCTTGGGTGTAGTGTTCTATAACTTTCAACTAAGTTGATTTGTATCTGCTATGTCTTTGTTAAATTTTTGTCTTATCATCAATTGCTGAGATATAGATGCTAAAATCTGCAACAATAATTTGAATCTGTCTATACTTTTTATTAGTTCATAAGAGAACTAGTAATATGACAGCTTTAAAATTTTTAAGATTTCTTGATGACTTAACCCTTTTATCATTATGAAATGCCTATCTTGATAATACTCTTTGAAGTCTACTTCTATTATAAAATATGGTAATGGAAGATGTGTTATGTAGTATTTCAATGCTGTATATTTTCCATTCTTTCATTTTCAATTTTTCTTTTTTTTTAAGATTTATTTATTTATGCACACAAGAAATTGGGTGTAGACCAGAGGTGCAAAGGGTGGGGGGTGGTGAGAGGATTCACCAGAGAGAGTGGGGAGCAGAACAGGAAGATCTACTGAAATATACTGCTGAGGGGAGAAGTGGGTGGTGAGACAGGAGAGGTCTGCTGTGCCATGTGGGTTGCGCCTTGGCTGGCTGAGGGTAGAACTCATGCTGCAGTGGTTGGGGAGAGCTTGATAGTGCATGTCTTTAACCCCTGCGCCACCAGGGAGGCCCCCTTTTCTGTTGTCACTATGTTTAAAGAGTGTTACTTGTCAAAAACATCTACTTTGATGTTGCATTCTTTAGCCAGTCTGAGTCTGCATCTTTTAATTTCTTTTTTTAGTTATTATTAGCATATGTGGGTTTTAAACGACAATGCTGATATTTGATTTTTACTGTTGCATTTGCTCTTTCTTTGTTCCTCCCTTTTTATTGTTAATTAAGTATTTTTAGGTATTCACTTTTATTTTTATTTTCTATATTAGGTATTATCTTTAGTTATATCATTTTATGTTATTTTCTTAGTGGTTGATTTAAAAATTACATTATACATCTCTACCTTGTCATATGTATATAATAACAAAATTCTGTTACTTTACAATGTAAGTATATTAAAATAGCATATTTTAATTATCATTCTCTCTTCCCCTGTGCTCTGTCTTGCCACACATTTTTTTATTTCTAAATATGGTACAACCTAACATTACATTGTTACTATTTTTACTTTATAAGCTTAATAGTTTTTAAAATGTATGTATTTGTGTGTGTGTGAGTTTGTCACTTATATCTACTGAGATGTCTTTTCTTTTTCCAGTGTTCTTCACACCTTCCTGAATAACTGGGTCTCTACTTGGTATTTTTCTTTTTGAACTAAACATTTTAGTATTCCTTTAGTATTTCTTAAATTAATACATTTTAGTATTCCTTCTAGAAGTCTATTTAAGACAATTTCTTTCACCTTTTCCTTTGGGAAATATCTTAATTTTTGAAAGATAATTTAACTAGTTCTAGAATTCTAGACTAATACGTTTTTCTGTTTAACACTTTAAAGTTGTCATGGCCGTGTCTTCTGGCCTCTATTGATTCCAATGAGGAGATATAATTTCTATTGTTTTTCTCTTTTCTGTAATGTGTTTTGTTTTCTCTTGTGGCTTTTAAGTTTTTCTTTTCATGTTTGATTTTAAGCAGTTAGACAGTGATGTATAATTTTGGTATTTCTTTGTATTTATTCTTCTGAGTCTATTGTATCTTGGGTCAATGGCTTTCATATGTTCTGGACCATTAAAGTATTTCTACTGGAAATCAAGTTATGTATTTATTAGCATGTTTATCTTGAACGCAAATATGTTTTAAAATCACATTGTCTGTTTTCAGTGACACTGATTCCTTCCTCTGCTGTAGACAACATAATAAACTCATTGACAGTATTATTTGTCTGTAATATAGATTTCATTTATAGCATTTGCATTTGACTCTGAAATTGCCCAAACATGTTCACTTATTCTATTTCTTTCATCTTAAATGTTTATAAACATTATTTTAAAGTGTCTGCCTTATAATTCCAACAACAATTTTATTCTGTCGGTAAGTTTCATTTACTGTTTTCTCTTTGAGGAAATATTAGTTTTCTTACTTTTTCTATGTGTTTTATAATTTGATTTTGATTAAGATTAAATTCAGACATTAATTATACAGGAATAGTAGAGTCTGAAGAAAACAGCAATCATCTCTAGAGAAAGGGCAGACTTTTGTTATCTGGCTCACCATTAGTGAGACGATTTGAGACAATCTAGTCAGTAGTGGAGCTAGGCCTATAAGGTTTTGTGGCTTTAGTTATTCAGTTCACTATAGGTTTCATGTTACGTGGTAGAGGAATCACAACTTTCTGTAGGGGAAGAGAGGAAGTTTCTCCCTACCCCTTTGGGTTCTTGTAGACTGGCTGAACAACAAATTAATGTCAGATATATCAGTAGGAAAAAAACAAAATTGAGTTACATTCCTATGGAGAATTTAAGTGGATGTGAATTCCAGGGTCAGTGGGGGCAAATGAGGGTATGCATCCTTAGCTAAGGAATAAGATAGAGGCCAGGGACTTCAAGGAGAGAGGAAGGGAACTCACATTATGAGGACTGGGTGACTCATATGACAAAGACCAGATTTTTGAATTAGACGTTTGCCCTGCCTTGTACGTAGGTTTCTACCATCAAAGGGTTCTTTCTGGTAAAAAGCCTCATTCTGAATAATAGTCTCAATTTTCATTTTTCAAGCTAGTTAAGGGAGTGGTAAAAGTTTCCCCTATGAGAACCTGCAGGGTCTTTATTAACCTTAGTTTGAAATAATCCACATGCCAAATTGACACATCTCCATCAAGCCTCTTCTAAAACACTTACAGAGGCCTATCCTCCACTTCCCTTTAGCAGAAACTGGGATATGAACACCTGGGAGTATTTAATCACTCCTTTCTTTCTTTTTTTTTTTTTTTAAAGATTTATTTATTTATGCATACAAGAACTGGGGTACAGGCCAGAGTTGTGGGGGGGCTGTGAGGATTCACCAGAGATAGAGCCGGGTGCAGAACAGGCAGACTGACTGAAATACATTGCTGAGGGGAACAGCAGGTGAGTCAGGAGAGGTTTACTGTGCCATGTAGGTTGCTCCCTGGCTGGGGATCAAACTCAGGCTGCAGTGGCTGTGGGTAGCTTCATAGGTTGCATCTCAACCCCTGCGTCACCAGGGAGGCCAATCACTTCTTTCATACCTTCATTTTTAACAGGATCTGTTTGCTTTTGCTTTATTCCTCTGTGGTAGTAGTCTCCTGAAAAGGGTTCAGATAGACTTTTTCCAAGATATCTAGATTCCCTCCCGCCCCAGTATATGTTATCTTGATATGTAGAGCTAGGATCAATTGAGATCTCGATTGAAACTGTTACTACTTCTTCAAGAATGATTACCTAGATTTACTAAATT